TCTTTGATGCAGCTAAGGTTGTGGCCTGGAAACTGGAAGGCATGCCTATCTCTGGCTTGGCAAGAAGAGAGGAGTAACATTATTTTATAATATGACTACAGACAAGAAGCAGTTAATGAAAAAAAGAACAAAATTGTTGAAGAAACATTTGAAGACAGTATCCAATCTCAATCGTACTTTGGAGTTTGGGTGTACATTGGTCAGGAAAATTTGTGATGAATTTAAGTTCTTTATCAAAGACTACTGCAGTGCTCTGGATGTGTGTCATGTATAGCTATCATCAGTTAAAAAAAAATAAAATAACTTATTCATGAACTTGAGGAATTGCTTCAAGCAACTACTACTGACTACCTTGCTGTGAACATGCAAAAATCATTAAGTTAAAATAGCTGCATATAATATTTCAAAATTTGCATGGAGAAAAACAGCAATAATGAAACAATGCAATTCCCTTATCTGCCACTTTTTTCTGAGAGTTGAAAATCATGGAATGGTTTGGTTTGGAAGGGATCTTTAAGATCATGTAGTTCTAACTCCCCCTGCTATAGGCAGGGACACCTCTTATTAGACCAGGTTGATTAAAGCCACATCTAGCCTGGCCTTGAATGCCTTTAGGGAAAGGGCATCCACAAGTTCTCTGGGCAATCTGCTTCAGTGTCTCACTACCCTCATAGTAAAGAATTTCTTCCTAAATTCTAATCTAAATGTACCCTCTTCCAGTTTAAAGTCATTTCCCCTTGTTCTGTTGTTACATGACCTCATAAAAGGTTCCTTCTCAGCTTTAGTGTAGGCTCCTTCAGGTAGTAGAAGTCTGCTATAAAGTCTACCAGACCCTTCTCTTCTCTAGGCTGAAGAGCCTCAATTCTCTCAGCCCGCCCCATAGGGGGAGGTGCTCCAGCCTTCTGATCATCTTCATGGATGATAGTCTTCCCTCTGGATCCACTCCAATAGTTTGATGTCCTTCTTGTGCTGGGGGCCACCTAAATGAATGCAAGGTGGGCTCTCAGGAGAGTAGAGTAGAGGGGCAAAGTCACCCCTCTCAACCTTCTGGCCACGCTTCTCTTGATGCAACCCAGGATATGCTTGGCCTTCTGGCTTGAAAGTGCACATTGCTGGTTCATGTTGAGTCTTTCATCAGCTGGCACCACAAAATTCTTCTCAGTCTTCTCTCAGGCCATGCTTCATCCAACCTGTATTTGTTTTTGGAATTGCCCCAACTCAGATACAGGACTTTGCATTTGGCCTTGTAGAACTTCATGAGGTTGGCATGGGCCCACCTCTCAAGCCTATCCAGGTCCCTCTGGATGGCATCCCTCCCTCTAGCATGTCAACTGCACCACTCAGCTTGATGTCATCTGGAAACTTGCTGAAGGTGCACTTGATCCCACTGTCCATGTCACCTACAAAGATGTTAAATAACACTAGTCCCAGCATCAACTCCTGACGAGTGTAGCTCATCACTGGTCTCCACTTGAACACTGAGCTGTTGACCACGACTCTCTTAGTGCAACTATCCAGCCACTTTCTTATCCAACAAGTGGTCCATCCATCAAATCCATTTTTACTTAATTTGTAATCCTTGCCCTTGACAAGAATCTCGTCCAGGACAGTGTCAAATACTTTGCACAAGTCCAGATAGATGACGTTACTTGCTCTTCTTTTATCCACTGATGATCTAACCTCATTATAAAAAGCCAGAAAGTTTGTCAGGCACAATTTGCCCTCAGTGAAGCTATGTTGTTTACCACCAATCACCTCATTTTTATTTTCACATGCCTAGGAAGAGACTTCAGGAGGATCTGCTCCATGATTTTGCCAGGCACAGAGGTGAGACTGACCGACCTGTTGTTCCCTGGTTCTTCTTTTTTTTCGCCTTCTTGAAAATGAATGTTTTCCCTTTTCCAATCTGTGGGAACTTCACCAGACTGCCATGACCTTTCAAATATGATGCATAGAGGCTTGGCAATTTCATGTGGCAATTCCCTCAGAACCCATGATTGAGTCTCATTGGGTCCCATGGAATTGTGCACCTTCATGTTCTTTAGATGGTCTTGAACCTGATCTTCACATACAGAGGGCAGATCTTCCTTCTTGCAGTTCTTTCCTTTGCTTTCTGCAACTTGGGTAGTGTGGCTAGAGCCCTTGCTGGTGAGGACTGATGCAAAGAAGTGCACCTCAGCTTTCTCCATATCCCTCGTGACCAGGTCTCTCATTTCCTTTAGGAGAAGGCTTACACCACATCTTCCTTAGCCCTCCTTTAATCACTGATATACTTACAGAATTTTTTCTTGTTCCCTTTTATGTCTCTGGCTAGATTTAATTCTATGCTGGTTTTAGCTTTCCTAATCTGAACCTTGGCTGCTTGGACATCTTCTTTGTAGTCCTCCCAGGTAACCCGTTCCTGCTTCCACTTTCTAAGGACTTCCTTTTTGGGCCTCTCTCCCCTTCAGGGCTTTATCCCATGTCACTCTGCCCAAGCAATTCTCTGAAGATTTCCAAGTCTGCTCTCTTGAAGCAAGCTTGCTGCATGCCCTCTTGGATACTAAGGATCTTGAACTCCATCATTTTGTGGTCACTGCAGCCAAGACTGCCCTTGAGTGTCACATTACTCACCAGCCCATCTTTGTTGATGAGGACAAAGTCCAGCATAGTATGTTTTCTCATAGGTTCTTTTCCACTTGGAAGAGAAAGTTATTATCAACGTGTTCCAGGGACCAATTTGATTGCTGTTGCTCTGCTGTGTTGTCCTTCGAACAGATACTGGGGTGGTTAAAGTTCCCCAATGAGAACCATGTTTTATGAACATAAAGCTTCTCCACACAGTTTGAGCAGTGTGCAGCAGAACCCTAATATCATATCTCCTTCCCCTGCCTTCCCTTTAAGTGTAACCCATAAGATCTGTCAGCTCCTTATGAACTTGTTTGAAGGATGCTTTACAAGAGAATATATTTTGGTGTTCTTAGGTTCATAAGAGTTCTAAGAAAACTTACCTGGCTTTGCAGATAGGAAGTTCCAAGAGTGTGAAAACGCACACACTTGGTCTAACTGAAGTCTTATTTAATTATATATTTCAAGATCCATTTGATAAAACCATTCTTAGCAGCAATTTCTTGGGGTATGCGTTACATCTGGACTTATTCATATTCAGAAATCTAAGTGGTAAAAGATTTTGAGCCAACTTCACTTTGTACACTATATGCAAGGACAAATTGTACGGCATTTATTTTAAAATGCTGCAGTGTTGCAATTCTGTAGCAGAATGACAAAGCAATTGTACTATTGCTTATAAGAAAATATTGTATATATGGAAGAAATGTGTTAGTCTTTGGATTTTTTGCTTGTTCGGTTGTTTTTTGGGTTTTTTTTTTTAGACAATGTAGGAAACAGGACTGTTTATGATAGTGGGACTAGGAGAGGGAAAAGATTTATACAAACTCATAAAACTTTCTGATTTGAGATTAGAACTATGGTTTATGACATTTTAACACCGGCCCAGTCAGACAAATAGAAAATTACTACTGCATCCTAGAGTTGAGGAGTTTTGTGTCTGTATGTAGGGTAAGAGCATTATTATATCATTATTGTACATTGTTATGTTTAAGAATTCTGTCAAAATAAATGCTGCATTTTGAGAGTCAAAATGTATCTTGTAAATTTTTTACTAATAATAGCAGACAGAATGGAAATGCAGTAGCACTGGAGTCTTCTGAAGAGAACAAAGAATTGATAAACTTGGATTAAATTGAATGATAGTAGTCTTTCCATAATCATCTTCTTGCATAACCAAAAGCATATCTTTTGTTAATGACTAATCTAATAAGGTGAAAACTGCATATCAAAATTAATAGAAAAATAAATTATAGCACATGGATTTTTTCTGTTATATTTCTGTATTCTTTGGCTATATTGAGTTCTTTACCTTCAGTCTCTGCCAAAAATTTGTAGACATGACCTACAGTGTCTTCATGGGAATTTGGGTTTGGAAATACTGAATTATTGTTACTTAGATAACACGGTCTAATGAAAAGAAATTAAGTTTGAACATACGATGAAATAATTATGTTTTTATAAGCAATTTTCTTCATTCCTGGGAAATATTTCATTTTTTTAGCCTGGGTATTATTATCAATGAGTCAGATATCTAGAAACTTCTTCTGCAAGTGTCAGTAAATTTAAAAGGCCAATCAGCAGTATGGGTAGTTTGCTTAACAAGGACCACTTTGAGTAAACCCTAGATGAATATGTTAAACATACACAGTATGATTTAATTTTTTTTAAAGATGAGTAAGTTTTAGTGTGCTTTTGAAAGACAGAAACTTACATTTGCCTTTTGGCTACAAACCTGTTCTTCTGTATCTTTTAAAGAAAAGGAAAAAAAAGTGATGCTTTTTATTTAACTTGTCCTAAGCATGCTTCTTACTAACATGAATGCTTGCTTTTCTTACCAACCTAGCCATAAATCAATGTCTGACAATGTTGTTCTGGTTTCCATATTTTCTGTTTGCATTGTGTATTATTTCAATGAAAGCTGATTATAGAAGAGAGAGAGAAAATCACTTTCATTTTGAATAAACTACTGGTTTAGAGGAAATAAAGTCTTATGTTGAAAGCATGTTAGATAATACTCTTTAGGCTAAGAAAAGTGCCTGTTACTAAAAAGAAATCTCACAAGACAGAAAATGCACTTAATTTAGCTTGGAAAGTTGAACTAAGCCTTTCAGTTTCATATTTGTCTTTTATTCACTGCAGAGTGCCTGCACAGGCTTTTTAGAAGGGAAATCTGGGAAGGGATTAAAACTTTTTTCCTCTTTGTGGAAACTTTTCTATTTCTTATATAATAGGCACACAATTGTACTGTCACTTTTTTTCTCAGTAGCAGAAGCTTTAAAAATGAACAATCTTCCTAGCTTTCTTTTGGCTTGCCTTTCTGTTTTAAGGTATATGAGGTACCCATCAAGTATTTCTGAGCAGGTGTCAATTTATTTTATTTCGAATTTCAGACATGGGATACAGAACTGGAGAGATCTGCAGAATCATGGGCTGAAACGTGTCTATGGGAGCACGGGCCTGCAAGCCTCCTTCCGTCCATTGGACAGAATTTGGGTGCACACTGGGGAAGGTATTTAAGACATTCTTAAATACTCTATTTTTTTTTTTTAAATCTAAAAGTTGCTTATTACTTTAAGGATATGATAGACTATCAATGACAGAAGTTACAGCTGTTTAGTGATCTAATAGAATGCTGCTGACTTTCATAGGTACAGACCTCCAACATTTCATGTCCAAGCATGGTATGATGAAGTGAGAGATTTCACATATCCACATCCTCATGAATGCAACCCATATTGTCCTTACAAATGCTCTGGCCCTGTTTGTACACATTATACACAGGTAGGTCGGTTTGTGTTTTGTCAGCTACGGAAGGAAATGAGCAATCCTAACCTCCAGTTAGGTCACTGCATGATAAGTAGAACATATTAGTCTTACTATGTGTATGGTGGTACAAAAGCAGGAAAGGAGCTTTTTACTAGACTCTTTAGTTACAAGCATTGGGTAGTGGTATTGTTGAGTAGGGCTGTCATGCAAATCTTTAGATTTCTTCTTCATAAATATCACCTCATTAACAGGGTTAAGGAAAAAGCTCACAATACCCGGTACTAAGTGTGGCTGCTCAGTGCACTTTGCATAATCTTGTTTCTGTGCCAGCTGGCGTGCTGGTACTCCTTTCTGGAATATCCATGCTTAAATGAAAAAAGCTTTCTTAGATGAATTCCTCAGGTCAAATAACAGTTAAGTACAGTTTATAACACATTTCTTTAACTTCAGCAAGATTTTGAAATTGCGTAAGAACTAATTTACTTTCTGCTCATGAAGTCTAGGTATGTAACTTCAAAATTTATTTATTTATTTTTTCTGAGAGGAGCCAGTCACGTTTCCAGTAAATGGGAAATACATGATCTTTAGATTATATTAAAATCTACTTTTTTTTTTTTTGATATGTTATTAGAAAACTGCAAAATGCTCAATTTCAAAAAGTTTATTTTCTCTTTGCTTACTATCACCATTTATGATTGTATCTATTTTTTGAAGAGAATTATTCCCGTATTTTTGCTTACAATTTCTTTAAAAGTGACTGTTATTACACTTCCCTGCCACAAGCATGACCTATAATATAAATATATACTTACTTATGTTACTATTTTCTTCACAGTACATATCCTTTTCAACTCCCGAAGTCCTGAAGGAACTACATAGTTAACTTCCCTTAAATTAATTACTGGATTTATTACAAGATTAGCACCTGTTGTTTTTGTCTGCTTTGAACATACCCAACTTTGTCTCTCAGATTATTTTGAGTTCTGCAATAAAAGGTGTTTCAGTAGATGTATAAAGGAGCACAGACATCGTATACTGCAATAACATGGAGGCATATTTATTTTTTATTTAAAATCTAAGACCTGGATCTTACTGAAGTATGACCTTTTTTTTTTTTTTTTAATAGTTTTATTGTTTGTCACTTTCTCTCATGAGTGACAAGTGTCCATTCTCTCAGTCTAAGCAATCTGAATCTTTCTGCATTCCTAGTTCATGCTGAGAACTCCAAAGCACAGGAACCTGAGTAGAAAACATTGAATTACAATAAGTCATCTTAGTTTCAAGGATCAGTTCTTCAGATAATGTGCTGAAAACATTTTCTGCAGTTTCAAATACATGCTTAGAACATCTATTTAAAATAAACACCATGTATGTTCTATCAATGTAAAGGTTTACTTTCTAATGAAAAAGGCCATGAGAGGCCTTTATTCAGTTTTAGCTGGGTTGCTTCAACCCATATATAACAGAACAGAATACAGCATCTCTTGTGATTTGAATTCTGTATGTTGAAGTTATGTTTTCATGTTAGCTAGCTTTAATTTCCACATGTCTTTCTCTCTCTCTTTTTTTTTTTTTTTCATAGGTTGTTTGGGCTACAAGTAGCAGAATAGGTTGTGCAATTAATTTGTGTCATAACATGAACATCTGGGGACAGATTTGGCCAAAAGCTGTCTATCTTGTATGCAATTATTCTCCTAAGTAAGTTATCTGACACCCAAAAATATCTCGAATGGGGGGAAATACTTTGTAGTAATCCAGGAAATAATCCAGAAGGAAATCAGTCTGAGTTTTATGGTTTTTTGTACTGTTACAAAGTAGAGCATTGTTCCCAGTGCAGCCTTGGCAGCACAAATACTGTTGTGATTTTCTAGAGCTTTGGTTTTCTGGCTTTCAATATTGAGTGACTTTTTTTTGTAAAACAAATATATCTCCCCATCCTGATCTTAAAGAATGTGTAACGTGAAGTTGATGTTTGAGATCACATCCCATAAGTTATTCCATTTAGGGGAGTGGAGCCTGTTCTCATGTAATTGAAGAATTTAGATTTACATTGCTAGGCCAATATAGAATACACACACACACACATTAGAGCAGCTAATGGCACTACTTCTAATATTTTTGGTGTACTTCTAAATGACTTTCAGCATGTTCAATTTACTGAAGCAATGCTATGGTCTACGTTAATATTAGATTTCATCACATATTTGTCAACATGTAGAATGATGCTTATTATTAATATATTAATTTATTATGGCATATTTTACTAACTGTTTTGTTTTGTTTTGCTTGAAGAGGTAACTGGTGGGGTCATGCTCCTTATAAGCCTGGCCGTCCTTGTTCTGCATGTCCCCCTAGTTTTGGAGGAGGTTGCAGAGAAAATCTTTGTTACAGAGGTATGTAGGATTTTAGCAGTACAGCTATAACTGGGCAAAGAAATGTAACCTTTTGCTTTATTTTTTCATTATGTCTTAAGTTAATAGAATATAATGTATTATGCATGTAGTCAAAGACATGGTGGGGGTCTGCTTTCCCATACTGAATGAGATCATATACTATGTATGGTAGATATGTGGGGCTGAGCATCATGAGAAAGAGTGGAGTGTGCTGCTGATTTAATTGTTGCATGAGAACATTTTCTTAGTTTTAGTACACAAAAATTTAGACTTTTCTGTATGTTATTCATAGGTCTTTTTGTAAATTGTAGTGAAATCTGTGCAGTGGTTTGTTTAAAGGGAAACATACTAGCTCAGTGACATAGCAATATGCCTTACTATAAGAGAAGATCAAATCAAGAATGAATTAACAATTAAATTTTCAGCTAGTGTGATTATTCGTTTTTTAGAATTGTCATAATCTTGTATATATTGCATTGAATTATAGTATGTCATGAAACAAGTGTTTCTTTTTGTTTTGCTCTTTGTATATGTACCTTAGCTGCTTCAGAAAAATACTTTTGAAATCCACTATGTATTCATATGGACCATAAAAGCCCCAAACACCTTCCTTACGGTTCTTAAGTGAAAACTTTAGGTTTAGTATTGAGTATTTCAAAATTATTTATGTTATGTGTCATATTTTCAGGTGCAATTTTTTAGAAAATCAGATTATTTAATAGCAAACTATTTTTGAATTTGGTAAAATTTTTCACCATCTATTTGAATTATTTCCTTTGACCTATTTGTTTTCTGATGGCATAAAGAAGATGGATCAAAAAAGCATTAGGGTCATTTTCATACCTCATTTGTGCTGCTTTTTCTAGAAAAAATCTACCTTTTGTCAGCATACAAAAGATAATTGAGATTATTACGAAGCTAGAGCTGTTCTCCCTTTGAAAGAATGGAAAGTTTTCCTTGTTTTTTGCTTATACTCAATAACCATTTTATGAAAACAGAATTGTGTTATGAAAACATGTTAAGAGTTTTACATTCCACAAATACATTTTGTATGAGAAATCTTTTCTCACTTGCTTTCTGAAATAGAGGGTTCAGAGAGGCCTTATTCTCCTCATGAGCCAGAAGAGGAAACCAATGAGATTGAACGGCAACGATCCAAAGCCCAAGATGCAACAGCACAAAGCCGACCAAGAACTCATTCACCTTCAGGTTCCACAGGCAGTGAGGACAGTGAGAAAAATGAAGTAATAAGCACACAGCAAATGTGTAAGGAATTTAACTGTTTTTCAAGTGGTCAACAAATTTGGAATTTGGAATATACTATCTAATTTCAGTGAAATTGCTCTTTTCTTGTTTTAGCTCAGATTGTTTCATGTGAAGTAAGGTTAAGAGATCAGTGCAAAGGAACAACTTGCAATAGGTATGGGCAATTTTACAATTGTCATTACATTACAGTTGCGTTACAGATTGTTATTATTCTGAAAGGCTATTCTTCTAAATGTATGTGAACTGGAATACTTTCCCTTTATGTAATCTCAGGTTCTAAGACCAAATTATATTTTATTTTCCTAGGTATGAATGTCCTGCTGGCTGTTTGGATAGCAAAGCCAAAGTTATTGGAAGTGTACATTATGAAATGGTAAATATTTTAGAATAAGATTTTGCACAAATGCAATGTTTAATGAAATGTATTTTTTTCTGGAATGCTAGTTAAAATTGCAGTGAGAATAGATTTTGAAGAAAACAGTTTTCAGCCTAAATAAAAGCCTATATCAAATATTTAAAATAGTACCAAACTGAGTTTGCACCTTTGCATTTACTATCCATGTGTACTTCCTCCTCTTGCACACAAACAGAATGAAAATTTTCATGCCAAAATGTTGGGGTGCAAATTTGTGAAGATGCAAATTCAGGACAAATGTGACAGTCTGTAGGCACAAATTGCTTTGGTAAGACAGATCTACATATGTAAACTAAATATCTTGCTGCATAATTTTTCATGTATAACTGAAAAATAGTATAGGAAAAAAAGAGCAAAGGTGAATGAATATATTGTAAATGAGTATATTTTATCTCTGAATAAGGCAAAGTGATTTTTTTCTTCATTTGAAATAATACCTACATAGACCACTTCAAACTTGATAGACTATCTACCAAGTTTTGAATGAAGTAATTAAAAAGCTAAATTAAACTGCAATAGAAAGTAGTATTTTTCTCTGACTTGGAATTCCTTCTCAAATTCTGTTTTTCAGCAATCCAGTATTTGTAAAGCTGCCATACATTATGGAATCCTAGACAATGAAGGTGGTTGGGTTGATGTCACAAGGCAAGGAAGAAAAAATTACTTCATCAAATCTTACAGAAATGGCATTCAATCAATTGGGTAAGCTTCCTTAAAATTAAAACACGTGGAACAGTTTTCATTTGTTTTTTTCTGTTGTTGCTGCTATTTCATACAAGATGTATAACAAGAGTAGCATTTTGCATACTTCTTTTGTCATAAAAAAATGAAAATACTGTAAAAGTTTATGTGGATATACAGGTATTGAATCAATTTTGAAACTTTAGCCAGTGTTTAATGGTGTATAGAAAAGTGACAGAATAATTAACTCATTTGTAACTGTACAGAATTACTGTAGAAAAACAGTACATACTGACACTAACATAGATTGCCTTAAAAGTTTTGGACAAAGCTGCTAATTTATTCAGTGTTAGTCCACTTACACAGAAGTGTATGACAGCTAACAAGGCAAAAATTGTCCAAGCTCGTGTTTGGAAGTGATCCTCTTGTGCTGTGCATAGAAACAATATGAACCAAGCAAAAATGCATCTCTTCTTATATTTCTGATAGTTTCATTACAGTTCAGTGACATTTTGCACAAATACTTGTTTCTATATCTGCATTGGCCAGTGATGGGATAATACTGTATGCCGTGGAAACTTCATTTGGACATGAACTACACTGTTCAGGTGCTTGTCCTGAGACTGACGTGTGACAATAAATCCGGATACTCCCTGACATGCTAAAAGTAAAATGAGAAAAGTAGTATATAAAACTGAAGTATATAATGCATAATTTTCTATTGGTAGAACAGCATTAATATTAGTATATTGGAACGTAAGATACTAATAGCATCTGGAATCTACACTACATCTTAATGTATTCTGGAGAACAGTACAATACTATGTGTAGTTAGTATATGTGTGATAATACTGTACATGTAAGAATGTATGAGTAATATCAAATTGAAAGAACAAGCATTTTGCTGAATTATGTATTTGGTTTGTGTATGAACCTGGTGTAACCAATAGAAGCTGTGCTATGTCTATGTGTTGTGCTAACCAATTGCACATGGTGTGAAATCTGATGTAATTTTTCTCTTCAACAGATTTACATAATCCAGAATACAGAGAAACACTGGCCAGGTAGACTAAGTTCAGTGGCCTAGAATTAGGGCTATCTAGGTAGCAAGCACTTCAGGCATTGACATTTATCTGTTTCTTTGGTCATCAAATGGTCTGAATGCAGTTTAAATTACACCTCCTTAAAAGGATCGTACAGATAATTATTCCCTCATTAAATGTTTTGAGACAAAGAGATAAACAGATCATAAGATCACAGAATGGCTTGGATTGGAAGGGAAATCAAAATCATCTGGTTCCAACCTTCAAATCTGTATTGCTTTTGGACTCAGCTCTCCTACAAATGTAGTGGTAATTAAATTTCAGAAAATTTTCAAAGTGGAAGGAATAAATTTCCTATCACCTTGTATGTCTGTGTTTCTGCGCTATTTGAGACAAAACCATGAGTGTCATCTATAGAATGTGTTTGGCACTTATTCTCTGAGAATCAGAACACAGAAATGAGGTATTAGTTCTCAGTTTTCTTTTCTATGGACACATATAAGTTGTATCACATCTGAACATTAAAGGCTAATTTGTTTTTGGTTTTTGGTTCACATTTTAGAAAAATTATATTAGAGGCCTTATGGATTAAATACTGTTAAACGACCGATACTGTACCTTCCTTTCTACAAGTATATTTCAGGAAATTTCTGCTACTGCATGTGTGCACAGATGACATAATTCTTCATTAATGTCCTGCACTGTTTGTGACTTCACACTATAGAGTGAATTTATAAAATATTGCTATATCCAGCATTAGCATAGTAAGTCAGTCCCTAAATTGTAGTCGTTGGTATAAATAGAGAAGATTTGCCAATGTTTCACATCTAGTAAATGTCCCTTCTGTGAGGTTATGATGCAAATTCTGTATTAGTTGATTTTTCAGTTTTGTAAGACACCTGTTTACAATAAAATGACAGTACTACCTGAGCAGGATTTCTCTAGTTAACGGATGAAACCTTCAAACAAGAAGACTAGGGAGACTTTGCAGCTATCTCACTGTCTCTAGGTGGATTCTTGCATAAGCTACACATAAATTTGATGAATATTATGAAGTGAAGACAATTTCACTCATAGTGTATAATCCAAAACATAGAAAAAAAATTTCAGTTTAACATACAGCAAACTTCCCAGTTTTCTTCACTGATTTATATTCAGGCTTGCCAATACAATTTTTTTAATCTATCTGTTCTATTATCAGGGTATAGGCTAACATTTTAAACCATATGTCTACTAGTTAATCAACAATAGAATACAGTCAACTGTTCCTGTATCAGTGTTTGGCAATGCTAGGGCAACCAAAGTATGAGCTAACTTAATGAAAACAAATTGAAAGGCAGTAAAGGACCAAATATGGAACTGGTAGACTATGCAATGACATGAACTAATCCAAGCAAACAAGTGAATGATCCCTTATTGTAAATGAATGTTTCTGAAAAATTCTCAACCATAGTTTTTGTTTAATATATTTTGACAGACAAAGAGTTTGCAAAATTTGCACTTAGCACACATAGTCTCTAAGCAAACTAAGTTACTGAAAGAGTTTAACATGCATTCTTGGTTTCCAATTAGATTTACTTAGAGTACAAACTAAATGTGCCGCTCTAACAAATAGATCCACATTTGGGTAGGGTGGGTTTAATGAGTAAAAATTGACTGAGGACAATGTCTTAAGTTTATTTTTAGGTTTACGTATGAAAGTTCTCCTAACTAAAAAGACATAGAAGACTGGAAACATTAAGAGATGTTATTTACTGACTATTTCTGTTATATCTTCTTCAGAAAATACCAATCTGCTAATTCCTTCACAGTCTCTAAAGTAACAGGTTAGCATTTTTTTTTAATGAACTCATTTATTTTAAACTATGATTTTCCAAATAGCACAAACTTATTTGTTCCTATTTTACTTTTTCCAGTTCAAGCTATCACCTGTGAAACAACAGTGGAACAATTGTGCCCATTTCAAAAACCAACTTCACACTGTCCAAGGTAAAATTCTTTGAATCTTTTATTAATACAAAATGCTACATATTTTATGTCAGATACTGATTATCTATAGTTGACATTAACAAAGGTGACAGCAGTAGATGTGCTAGGCGGAAATGTTTTCCCAATATTTTAGTTTTAGGTCTAAATAAATGGTTGAGTAGCTGAAGATGATCCATCAGCTGCTTTCATAAGACGAATTTCACTTTCTCTTGTCTGTTCAGATCTTTCTTTCATCTCTTTATCAAATCTTAGTAAATCTTTTGTTAGACTAAAGACTGAAAAGGAAAATCTATTTTTCTTTTTCACTGTTTATTATTAAATCTATGCATCTTGAGCAAAACATACTTTATTTCAATGTAATTGCTTGTAAGGCAGATAAATTAAAAGGAACTGATGCAGATACTTATCACAGAAGTAATCTTTTTTTTTTTTTTTTTTTTTTTTTTTTTTTGAGTCCTGGAGGATTCAGTGAGCAAATATATTTGCAAAAATATTGAAGAATATGTTTTTAAGGTAAGGTGTAGTCTGCAGGTCAGCTAACACCTTTCAGTCAAACAGATGCTCCTTTTCTTTGAAGCCTATGTATTAGCTCATCAGTAGAAGCCAATGCCTCAATATTTTGAGGAAGGAGATCAGTAACACTTCTTAAGACCATAGATGAGTCAAAAGTAAATACGTTATAGCATGATTTACCGCAAGCTAAGCTGGAGATATCCACAGGAGTACTTTCATAGCAGTCCTAAAGCCAGAACAGGAAGCAAGTACAAAGCCAGAACTGCTAGGAAAACATCCCTTCATGTAGCACTTGGGTTCGTGGACTTGTTTGGTGTTTGGCTATGACTTCTGGCTTCTTAGCTGGAGGATGTGGAGAAGTAAGAGAAGGAGTGGAATGCGGGAATGGACACTCATACTTCTACCTTTATTATTTTTTTCGTAATCAAAAACTGAAACTACCTTAATTAAGAAGAAAATTAATATCTAGCTCAAAACAACAACAACAACAACAACAACAACAACAACAAAAACCCACACGAGAAGAACTAATTAATTCTGAAGTATCAACTTAAGGAGCTTCTCAACAGTGGTGATACACTTAGGAACCTGTATACATACTTAACACTATTCTGAAAGTGGCTGTCTATGGCATTGATCGTGCAACCTTGTTTTTCCCTCATGCTCTATCTATAAATCAGGAAGTCTTCAAATGACTCTTTGACATCTTACTTCCTTTAGAAAAAAATCTCTCTCACAGCTGCATCAGCTTATTTTGGTGACCCATCTGATAAAACTGATAATAGCATGCCCAAAGGCTGTGGCATATCAAATATTGACAAGGGCATGGATAGAAACATATCCCCTGGAATCTGCTAGAAATCTCATTACCTTCCAGAATTTTCTATTTTATCCAAGGATTTTAAGTGCTGACCCTCATTATAAGTTGCTAATTTTTCATGGCATTAGCACTGTAGCAGGCCTTCATTGAAGTATTCATCTCCTGAGAAGATATGCAGCTGTACAGTTCAGATAGGATACTGTAGAAGCAGATAATAATACACGAATGGCTTTATTACTGTACTCAAATATGTAAAATGAAAATATCATAAACTTATCCAAAGAGAAGAAGATCAGAGCTTTGAAGTATGTTTTCAAGCACTTTGTTATGAATTACAAGTTACTTTAGGAATTCTTCTCATTAGTAGTATCAAACGCTCAAAACTGTTAGCCTTCTAGCATCGGTATGGACCTTTGTGTAAGCACCACCAGGCTGATTAATACTCACTAATGTTGATACTGAATATGTTATAATAGTACTCTTTTATCATTCTTCCTAATTGTGCTTTATTTTCAATATTTCAGAGTGTATTGTCCTCACAACTGTATGCAGGCAAATCCACACTACGCTCGAGTCATCGGAACACGAATTTATTCTGATGTAAGTTCTGTGATCTACGCTGCATTAAGAAATGAAATGTAAAGTTCTGTGAAAAGCTATAATGTAAAAATAATGCTAATAGATAAATATTCAGTTTTCTTCCACATGCTAAATTTTACACTTAATATCAAAAAAAGACATACATAACAGTCTTTTCAGAAGTTCTTTGTCTTTGAATACTCAGACAATTCAATGGAAATTTTATTAAAACTCAGTGTAGACTTCCGTCATGGGACTTCTGGACCCATGTTCTCAATTTTTGATCTAAATTCCCATTGATTCATTCACTGACAATGTATACCCATTTAAATCCTTGCACTTTAGATCCTAAGGCAACCATATTTTTTGTCTGACTAACCAAAATTACTCTGAAAATAAATGTCCACGCTATTATTGTTTTGGATATTTCTTATCTTTGTAGATAGCTAAATATTTGTACAAGGATTCTGATATATTTCTATAAAGTTTCTCATATTGCATTATTTTAAGAGACTAATGTTGCATTTTCTGTCTGTTTCCTAGTCAACTTTTTTTGTTGCCATGTCTTCTGTACATCATGTTTAGTTCCCAAGTGGATAGCCAAAACTAAATGAATATTCTTTTCCATGTACATCCTTTGTCATCTCTCTATGAAGGAGCCAGGAAGTAGTGGCAGAGTTCACATTTTTATCAGTTTGCTGTATATTATAACTATTTTTTAGCTGGCATCAACAGTAGAATGGCAACTAGCTAGGTTACTTGTGTAACTTGAATCCCTATCCTGAAAACACTTTTGTACTTGCTGACAAAAGTGCTACCTGTTTGATAAGCCATTCCTGTTTAGTAAATAACATTGATTTATGCATGTGCAACCTGGTCCTTAATGTGTTTAAGAGATTAAGATTCACTGATGGTTCGTTTAGTGGAAGACAATTTTCAGTTCAAAGGTTCCAGCCAAATTTTCCCAGTGAGACAGATGAGGCTTTGTTGTGAGAGAAAGACCTGTTTCTGTTTAACTTATACAAAAGGACATCTTACACCATGTGTTTATTTTGGCTGGAAAAATCCTAGGTGGCTTTTGTTAGTATTATGGAATTATGCTTTAAAGATATTAGACATTGTTTCTCACTATTAATCTCCACTGGATAGAAATGTGTACAGCCACACTGCTTTTAGGAAAAAATGGACAGAAAAACAGGTAAGAAGCCAGTGACGGGAGTCTTTTTACCAACTTCACATGTTGCCAGAGTAGATATAATCACAGAAGCTGCTCCTCTAGGTTATTTTTACAGCAGTTTGCATAAGTAGTGGTAAGGTAAATAAATGGACAACTGATGTGGAGAATGCATTTGACCATTTCTGAGTGTCTATCTCTAGTGCGAGGTGAATAGCTGAGCAGAGACGTCCACTCCTCTCCATTTCCAGCTCAGATGTAGACAGATGCATCCTGTCTATATTTGTGCAGATGTTTCTATTGATAGTATTGTCATTATATGATTTTCTGCAGGTTTTTTGTTGTTGCTATCACTTTTTATTTTAAAGCTAAGATGATTTTAATTGAAATTTTCACTATCTAATACAATTGTGTATTTTATACACAATAACTTATGACTGAACTAGTTTCATATTAAATATTCATAGAGATTTATAGAGAATATTTATATAGAAGTGTCCTCTTTTTCAGATTTCCTTGTATTCACAGATTTGTCCATAGATACAGGGAATTCATTTATGCACTTATCATAGCAAATGTATTTCTAATTGCAGTCAAAGGTTTTCCTGGTTAATTCTAGAAAATCAATATTTTTTATGATATTCCTGCAAATTTTTTTCCCCCCCCATTTGTGGATGTATGTATGTATTCATATATGCACGTGACTATTTATTTGCACTACTGCTTAGGCCACTTGCATTCTGTAGATGTAGAAGAATTTGCTTGCATAAATATTCATTAGAGACAAGTAATTAACAGATGTCACTTCAAAAATATGCCTTTAGAGAACAATTTTGGTAGTATCGATTGGAAACTATTTAATCACTTCCTTTTCTATCTTCAGTTTGATCATATACTCATTCTTAAATTCCCAGTGTTTTACCAGTACTCCTTTTTCCCTTGTTCCTGAAAGGGATTTTTCTTTAATTTGTCAGTAGCACCACACACAACTTTTATCTTTTTATTTTCCCACCTCTTTTAGCCTTGACATTGCAATGACTATCCCTAACATAACTAAAGGAAAACCATCCATTATTTCATCCTGTTCTTCCAGTCTGCCAAATATTGTCACTTTGTGACAGACGAATTACAACTGCAGTTGATATAGTCAATGCCTATAAACTTATTTGTGGATGGAGTTTTCACCTAATACTAATCCCTTTGTGTTCTATACCCTCTACTTTTCATACCTTCCATTTGTTTCTCTTATCTTGAGGTAGATATCCCCCTGTATATCAGATATCATACAGTAGCAATCTGATATATAGCTACTACCATAATATGCATATATAAAGGATGTTGTAACCCTAAAACTAAAGTGACTACTTCTGTTCAGGATATAATGAAAGTCTGGTGGATTTGGGAAGGGAAAAAGTATGAAGGAGTGCATAAATTGCATCACTTCTGACATGCTCAAAAACGCAGCCAGCACTATGGAGAGAAAAACTTTAAACATCTAAACATGCTAAAGCTTCTTTACATGAACAGTTTCAAATTGTTACTTTAAAAAATATTGTAACATCAAAAGACAAACTAGTTAACATTGAAGCTAGCAGCATTTGTGTTTGGAATAAGAGTAGGAAAATTATTCTTATCTTAAGTTCCTGATTTTATACAGCACTGAGATTACAAAATATCTACAGGAACAGATATAAATTATTCCAGTTACATCTGGAAGAAGTGCAGCTCTTGTTTGAACAGTGGTCTGTGTGACCAGCTATTAATTTATATTGGCTTCAAATTTAAGATTGATTGAGGAGAGACCTTTTGCTGTGAAATTTTTGTTTTTCCACAAAATAGTGTGGTTTTCAATGGAGATTCATTGTAACTGGAACTATGCTTTGCAGCACTTTGTACTGAAGAATACTGGGACCTTCATTCTGCACTATATAAAAAGGTTCATATTTATGGCTATTGATTTAAAATATCTTGAAAGTGATAATATCCTTGAAGGCGTAACTTGCAGGTTTAAATCAATTATTTAAGTTAGTGTTTTCAAGATTGTCACTGAACTCTCCTGTAAATATTATTTGTGCTACATAGATTCAGGATAGAAAATTCGTATGTTTCACACAGAAGAAGGTGCTGTTAACTTCACAGAGAGTTTTGCCTGCATAAAATTTGTGACAGAAAAATTCTTCTTCTGAAGCAACTGAAGAGACTTCACATCCCAACTGTATTTCCTCACTCAGAATTAAGGATCTAAAATCATTAGTCTGGCATTAATCAACTATTATATCTAAGGAATTATTTTAGATCTCTTTGTTCTATATGATGCTCATATTATAACTTTAATCTAATTAGATTTAATATTAGCCCATGCTGGACAGAAAAATTGTAACATTCCCTTGAATATGGAGCATTTCACCTCTGTTTGAGGTTATTCAGATGGAGATGGAATTGCTATCCTCTATCCCTCTTACTTTTAGGGTAGGACATCTCTTCCTAGAAACATATGACTACAGTGTGCCTTTGCTACTGTGCTGTTCCACTGTTTGGCTATGACTGGAGATTAAACAGAATCTCCTGAATTATAATAATTCATGGGACATGGGTTTGGTTCTCACTACCTCTCTGCTACTGAAATGAAGGCAGATAGATAGAGCCTATCATTGTGAAAAGCCCAAGAATTTAAACATGTTTCTTGAAATGAAATAGGCTGAAATAAATGATTTTTGGATCATGATGTGAATCCTTGCTGAAGAGACAGTGGCTGTACTCCTATAAATTGGCTTTATCTGTATGTAACTGATTTAAGGACTCCAAAGATTAATAAAATCAGTCATGCAATGAGTGTAATTATTTTACATTTCCTAAAACTTGGTTTACACATTTTTATTTTTTTCTACTTCTGAAATAATAATAAAAAAAGAATACTAAACTTCTCCTCATTCTTTCTTAGATATCCAGTATTTGCCGGGCAGCTGTACATGCTGGCGTAGTCCGCAATGAGGGTGGCTATGTTGATGTTATGCCAGTAGACAAAAGAAAGGTGTACATTGCTTCCTTCCAAAATGGCATATTTTCAGAAAGGTACAGAGCTCATTTTCTAATATTACTGTTTACCCTTCACCTTGATAAGATTATAAAGTTTTGCATTATGTCTGTTTGTACCTGGGCCACAGCTAGTAATCAATTAGGGTGATTTACAGAGCTTGGGTAAAAGCTGCTCTGATTTTGGAGAAACTGTGGTACCAGAGCTGCCTGCCTCCTCTAAGCCCATAAATCATTATTCTAAAAAGCTGCTTATGAAAAAAAAAAAAAAAATAACCCTCTTGTTTATTTTTCTGGTTATGTTGCAATAGAATATTTAATAAAAATGCCTCTGGTTTATTTGGGATTTATTAAAATTAATATCAGTGATCTATTCTTTCTGAGTTAGAGAATAGGCTGGTACTGGTAGCTAGTTGCAGGTTCATTCGCTCACTCTGAAATGGACTTTACAGGTTTATATAGTATCAAACCAATAAGCCTGGACCACGACTGATGCACAGAAACCTTTAAAGTTTTTTAGTTTCTATTTTGTAATGGTTTTACTGTTTTTATCAGTTTTTCTGAAAGACATAGATGTGTTGTGGAAGTCCTTTTAATTATACTAGTATATTAGTGAGTTATGTGATGATAACTCATGGCTGTACATTGCAAATCAAATGTAATTCCTGAAGGAGCTCTCCAAGTTCTACAGGAAGAAAAAGATATAACCTTAAGAAAAACTTCCTCAGTCCTGTAAAGCTATGAATGATTTTTACCTCTGTAAAATCTCAGAAAGTTTCTTTAAAAAACTTGCAAGTTGGAGAAAGATAAAAAAAAAAATTCTTATTTTTTTATTACAGTTGTCAGGCAGTCTTGCCCCTTTCTTTCATAAACCTCTGAGCAAACCTAGAAACTTGTAAAATATATATTTCATTTCCTTTGTGAATAATTTCATTTGCATATTCTTTCGCTTTTTCCTGATTATCCTCCAGTTCCCTCAGAAAGAATGCTTCCTCATTGTTTTCTTTTGTTCTCCTTCTAAATTCCCTCACTGGGTAGAAAAGTAGAGAAGTGTTGCAAATTTAGTCATTATTTGTACTTTACCATCTTGCTCAATGTTTTGGAGACCATTCTCATGAAATTTTTATTTTGTGAAACTGAAGAACTGTAATGAAGACCGCAATGCCAATGGAGACAACATATTTCATTACTCCCTTTTTCATGTTCTCTCCGTTTCCCCTTCTTTCTCAGATGTGCCTCAAATATGTTTTGCAAAAGGGAAAAGCATTGGACCATTAAACATGACAAGTTCTTTCAATTCTCATTACAAAAATATTTATTCTAACAAAATTTCATTGTTTTTGTTTTTGTTTCTTTTGAAGCCAGATATTAATCTCTTCAGAAGCTATCTGTACTTTAAATATATTTCCTTTGTTTTTGTAAAATATAAATTCTGTTTAGCAATACATCCGTTAAAGTATAAACAATCAATGAGCAAGTGATCTTAGATCTGTAAGTTATATCTGAATGTAGGTCTTTAAACAGTCTACGTAAGATGAATGCTTTTGCAAGTTCCCATAAGCTGTTGTTTAACATTTTGCTTCATTAGAGATTTATTCTTTAAACCAGAATCCCTGGTTTCCTTTCCAAAGGAAAATCTAGGATTACTTGAAATTCATATGTTATGAATTGTTCTTAATAAATTTATTGGGAGAGAAAAAAATCTGATTTTTTAATAATTTTTGTTACAATTTTTTTATTTTTTTTTAAATGTTTCAGTTTACAGAATCCTCCAGGAAGCAAGGCATTCAGAGTATTTGCTGTTGTTTGAATCAAGCAAGTGGACTATAAAACAGGCAAGTGAAACCATGGCACTTGGAAGAGAATACTAAAGACCATTTCTTATCATTGCTAAAATTTGTATAAAACTGTAACATTCTTGTACAGAAGATATATACTGCTTCCCACAAAAAAACCTTTAAATTACGTATAAATTTGAATGAAAAAAATCTTTAAACATGGGAGAAGAATCCATTTGAAAATTTATATTGATAAATAACAGTATTTTGAATCCTGTGTTAAATATTGCTATATTTTCTTAGCAGTTACTCCTAGACAGCTAATTCAAAACTCATAAATGTTCTGTGTTTTCTTCATCCGAAAATATTATTGTATGGTGCTTTATATATGCCACTAACAGTAACCTTAAAAATAGGGAGGCCTGAGGTTTTATTTCTAATGTACATAAAAGAAGCCATCCCAATAATTCAGTATAACAAATCATGCCTTAAAGTAAAATAAAAATATATATAACTTTTTGATGATTTACAGTAGCATTAGCCATGCAAGCAGAAATGAAGAGCTAGACAGTTTTCCATTTTCACACAAATCATAATCAAATACAATTTTTAAATAAAATAGGAAATACAGAGAAGTCCTTTAGAGAAAACATATTAGTATATTTTCCTCTAAACAAATATTTCTACAAGAGAGGACCATTCATATTTGCTATTTTTAAAATAAATTTATGAATACAATGTTTATTGAATGCTGCTAAGCTCTTTAGTTCAAGGTACTGATTCACTATGGCCCAGTTCTTCACATATATTATCTTATCGGGGCAGATTGAGAGCGAGATGTATAAAACCTTGAAGGATCTTAGTCTGAAAGTAAATTTTCATATTCAGAAGTGGAGCAACCATAAATTAAGGCATAAACCATCAGATCTGCGGTGCAGTTCTGCATAGATACGCTTTACTTTTACCACGTGACTCATTCGATTTACCTAAATTGGGTTTCAGAAAAAAACATAGAATTGTATGCGTGCATAGTTATTGGCAAGCTCGAGGGCTTAAGCTGTACATGGTATCCGCACACTATACAAAATTATGAGGGTAGATTTTAAGAAAATAGCAAGCTTATTCCTCATGACCTGGCAAATATTCCTGCAGGCCAGGAAGTATAGTGGCACGGAGCCCTGTGGCAATTGTCATTTGTTGCTTCACCATTTTTTTGAAACTCATTTATGGTGAACAGCCTTGTGCATTAATTTTACCATATTATGGTATATGGAGAACATGTAATGGTGATACTATGTTTCTTTCTATGAAAAGTGTATTGTGCTTTAAGACTGAAAAGCTGTTAAAATTTATTTTTGGTATTTTTTTGTTTCTGTTGTTGAATTTATTTCCTTTCAATTTGTAAACTGATTCATATTCTTCATACTTCAGAATATTATATTCTGCCTTCTGTTTTGCTACATGTACTACCTCATGTAGTTAGACGAGCTTTGTTAGTTTTTTTAATCTGTTTTGAATAAAAATTATTTACTTAGAATTCATTTGATGGCCTTTATTGTTCAACTGTTTCCCTCGCCTCAAGAAGAAGAATTAGCAACCACACAAAGTTTCCTTCTGCTTAACTAATTGTTGCAAGCTGTACAACCAAGTTGTACAGCCTGAAGTTTCAAAAGCTGTAGAGACAATGTAGGCACACAATTTCTATTAACTACATTGGGAGTTCTCTGAGTAAGTCTTGCAGTCATTTTTCAAGTTCTAGCCAGGGTATTCGGGAGCAGACTGTTCTGCCATTGCAAAGTGGAACTGTGCCAGAAAGCCAGTGTTATAAAAAACAATTTCATAAAACAAAAAACTGCCAGCTTTTTCCATCTCAATCCAGCCCTTTGCTCTTCTGGTAAATGCTTCCGGTGGGAAATATTCCTCATCAGCTCTAGTTGGGAAATCTGTTCAACTGATGAGGGAGACGAAATGTGGCATTGGCAGGGGAGGATGCACTGAAAGAAGCTTTATGTAGATTGCACAGTAATGTCACTAACAATTGCTCAGAAATAAAACCATAGTGCAAATAGGCTTTGACTGTGATGGGGCACCAAGTCACTCAAAGGCTTGAGACAGATTTGCACCAGCATTCTTTAAATAATAACAACAGTTAACATTATCAAAACATAAAACGGAATAAGGCAATTTCTGAAATTAAGGAAAAGCAGACTTGATGGTAAAGATATTTGAAACTACATTGTGGGAAAACAAACACAGTGTACTCGGACAGGAGACATTCCTACAGGTTGGCTTCACAGCCCAGCAGCAACCTTGTTGCCACGTGTTACCAGTGCTGCAGGGCTTCGGTGATGAACCAGCTTTCTGCTCTCTGACCAGGCAAACTGCATACCTCTCTTGGGATAAAGCAGAGTCCAGGGTAGAGAGAGGGACACTACAGTCAAACCTTCAGTCATACCCACACCTTCTTTCCTTTCGCTACTTGTGTGAAGGGGGTCCTAGATGGAAATGCAGCTGGCATACAAAATTTCTGCCTTTTCCTATACTTGTTTTCCTGAACAAGTTTTTATTTTATTTTATTTTATTTTATTTGTTTGTTTGTTTTTTGTTTTCTGTTTGTGTTGTCTTTTTGTGTTCTGCAAGTCTGCTTTCTGTCCTCTCTCTCCCCTTTGAAGTCAAATCTATGTTTTCCGAGCGTTCCTGTGCAAGGGGTCAGGGATAGATCCACGTCAGTGTAGCAACAAAGAGAGTGTTTTGTGGGGAAAAAAAAAAAAAAAAAAAAAAAAAAAAAAGGGGGGGGGGGGCAATCTCTAGTGTATTTAAAGAGTTACAGGGAGCAGTTCTCCAACACTGTTTGAAGAAGAAAGGGAAGTAACTCTCCTCACACCTGTTGCACAAATTTGGGAGCCTGGTTGCTTTTCTGCATGCATTCTAGCCCCCCATCTAACTTTGGCCTGTTGAAAATGAGAGAAGTATGTGTTTCCCAGTGGTTGTAAAGTGAAAGCTACATACTTTTATGTTTGTCTGCAACAAAGCTACTATATGCCAGATGATTACAACTAATATGAATGAGTAACTAGCTGCATTTGAGAGCATATTATAGTAGAAGCAAAAAATATAGAAGAAAGTAAGACTTCAAATTCTGAAGAACTGCTCAGTTAACGTATGGGAACTGTTGATCACAGCCTGAACCTCTAATTGACCACCTGAAGCAAGCAATGAGTCATCCACAGGAGCACAGGTGAAGGCAATTCACTTGTGCTACTGGAAGGGGTGGAGCCTGTCTCCACCTCTCCTAGATTCCATTTAAGTGCTGCCACGGAAGAAGGATCTCTTTCTGGAGATTGCTTCTTGTGGAGTCTATTGTGAGTCTACAACACCAGTGAACATTTTCTATTTAGTATCTTTCTGCTACAATGATTCTAATCAGCTTAACCTCTGTGCACCTATTGATTGTACAGTTAATCAGAGAGTTATAAAATCATGGTATGGAATTTAAAAAGCATAAACAATAAGAAAGTTTAATTCATGCTATTCATAAATTGTGGTTTTCTCCCACAGAACATCAGCAAATAGCTGCCATGAGTAATTAACACTGATCCATAACAATACTTTTCTAAAATAATAAACCACTCTCCCCCTAAAAACCCGAGCTGTTATAGTACACCAATATCTGCTATTTATGATTTTCAAAGAATTAAAATATTAAGAAACGTAAACCCAATGAATTCAATAGGCCCTTAAAAGCATTATCTGAGGCAAGGAAGAATGCTATGAAACTCATCCTACAATCCTGTGGTATTTCCAATTACAACTTGCAATCTTTTCATAAAAAAACAATCTGAATCATGTGGAGAGGGATCAAATATTCATTAAGCATAGTTCACCTGCCTGATGAAGCAGTGCACATCAGCTGTGGTCTCTCTGCTATGCTGCATCGATTCCAGATGGAGTGGCTAATTTTATGAACTAAACAGCAATTAGTATGATAGCAAAGTGGTCAGACACAAGTCATTCGAATTTCACCATTTTTGATAAGTGTTTGAGAATATTTAATTTGAGGAAACTTGGAACCCATATTCATGCCAGCAGACTGTTTACAGTACTAGGCAGACATAAACTAGGGATGGTGTAAAACAGTTCTTAAAAACTTTGTGAATATTGAAATATATTAGAGAGTCTACAGACTTTGCTGTGTCTCATTTCCATGTAGGGGACAGTCTGATCTAAAAATTATGTGTAAAGTATTTTCAGAACTAAGCCTGAAACACAGGTTAGGATAATTTGTATATAAGTTTGTGGGTTTTTATCTGGTGAAGTACCCAGTCTCAAATTTTACATAAATACCCAACTGTCAGCTTCGTATGGATTATCAGGAGACAATAAATAACAACAATAATAAAAGAATAATAACATCTGTTGTGGTTTTTTTCTTGTACTGATGCATATGCTCAGGAAAATGCATGGCACTTTATTTCATATAGCAGGGATGTAGCCAAGTTACTCACACATACAGTATCTTCTGTGTGGCAATTGTTTTTGAAGTATGTTTTGAATTTGGCTTAAAGCTCAGATAAACCAGTTTCCTGTGAATTCACAACGGAAGGTTTATTTCCTGCAATTTCTGCAGTAATACAAAGGGTCAGATTCAGAAATGTAAATATTTAGAAGTGATGGAAATAATTCATACAGTGCATTATTCTATTTGGAAATTCATATAAATACTGTGTAAAATGCTGTACTGTCACAATTTCTATCTTAAGGCCTTTTAAAGCATCTGTGAAACTCTAGGGAATTAAACAAGGAATGAAGAGCCTGGAGAGTTTTGTTTCACTCACTGTATAAGATGCATCTTACAGAGCTTTAGGTGTACAGATGAGAGCATACTTTACTGTTCAGAAAATTGCATATGATTTTGTAAAGACATAAATTATGCTTGTGGGAAAAGTAACCATGCCGTTAGTGCTAGCTTTCACCTGTATTTACTGTCATGAATAAATGAGTAAATTGATATTTTAAATATGGTCACTATTGATATTATTAAATCAGAGGTCCTTACCATGCATTGTGAAAATAGAATCAAATGTGATTCCTGCTCCATGTTAACACAGGATGATAATGTGAAACCTGAGATTTGCCATCAGCTGTTCAATGATCCATCTAATGTCTTGTTCATCTTAGCCTGGTTGCTGGGAGACAGATTTCCAAATCATAAAACCCTAACAGCATTTTGCACAAAGTGCTAGTAATGAGTCTTAAATGTTCAGAAGCTAGTAGTACCTGAAAGCCCACATCAGACCAGCTGTTATAATAAGGTAGAGTGAAATATAAAAGACCAAGGGAGGAAAGTCAAGAACATGTGAACAGAGTCACCAGTTGTGATGCTCCATGTCTTACTAATCACACTGATTTCTGTAGTAATTACCCTAGTTACTCAATTCAGTATTTGCCCCTGGTGATTTATCCAGTATTGTTTTTGTCTTCACTAACAATGGTGTGAATTTCTGAAGGCTAGCAGTGAAATTGTTGGTTAAGAACTGAGACACACTGGCCAAACAACTAGAATAAATTTGCAGTACTCCATTTCTTTACAGGCAAAATACTTTAATTTTCAGTGCCAAAAACACTCAGGCTTTAAAATTCAATGATTTCATTTAATGCATAGGCATTATAAGGAAATAAAAATGTCACTGTATGCTGACTGTTTAGTAAGATGTTCAGAAAGCTGTTACAGCTGAACAGAAATTGCTGTACCAAAAGCCAGCAATATTAAAAATAATCCTGAAATTTTGTTGCATATAAGACATGCAATCTGCATGGGCTTTTAGATGACATTTAACAAACTTCATTAGGTGTGTTTGCAGATATTTCTGTATGAACATTCTTTATGAAGGCAATATCCATTCTAGGAGTATCAGCTTAGAATAAATGGAAGAACTTGTATTAGATTTACTTTTGCATCTATTTGCAGTTATCTGAGAGACTCCACAGGATTTGTAGCAATGCAAATTATTTTTACTATTCTTCAGAAACAAAAAAGCGCTAAGAGATACCAAATCTCCTAAACTTAACCTTATGTTTGAGAAACAAGTACTTCAGCTGCTTTATTATTCACTTAGGCTTGTTTATATGCAATGTAAATAGCAAGCTGGCTTTGACTTCTCATAAATTACTGCTACTGTACATCTCAAACACAAATTGGAAACAGTTGCTAAATAAATCTCCCTGTAGTCAGTTCAATCTCCATTCCATCTGTTTCTTGTTGGTGCTGGGTGGTTTTCTTTATTCATATTGAAAGATCATGTCTTCTGAATAAGCATTTATTTTGTTGTGTCAGAATGACTCCAAGACCTTTGGGCTGCAGGCTGTGCTAAGCACAGAAACAGAGCAATCATTTTATGCAAAAGGACTTAGTCTCAGATTTTGGATTTAGCCCAGTTCCATACACAAAGAAGTACATTGTATGAGTTGATTTAGTGCTTGCTGTAGTGGAGGTGATAGTCCTACTCTGGCATGCCTATAACTGAAATGAAGAATAGTTTTG